TGATGCTCCGAAGACACCGCCGAAAGAAGGAGCTTCTGCACCATCTGCACCTGAAGTTCCAAAGGCAGTGACAGCAGCAGTTGAACCAGCAAAAGAAGATGAACCTGCAAAGAAGAAAGCCGCTCTCTCCAGCGTGCCTGCAGCTGTGCCAGCGGCATCATCGGCTGCGGCCTTCTTGGAACCTGCTCCGAAGATTGCGCCACCAAAGGCTCATCCAAAAGAGCAAAAGGTTTCTACTGCAGGATCCCCATCATCAAAGCCGGCTTCAAGCTCAAAGCCACTTGTGTCGAAAAAGAAGTCTCGCCCTAAAGGTGATGACCAACCATCAGAGGAGAACAAGCCGGTGTCGATCAAGGTTGAGACCAAACAATGTGAACGATGTTTTGCAGAAACCTTCAAAGGACAACTTGAATGTGACGTCTGCGGATTGATGCCTGAAGGAGCTGGCAAGGCCGACAGAACCAAGATTGCTGAACGCCGCAAAGCCGCCCTTCACAAGTTGGGGCTCTATGACTTCAAGGGAGAGTACTTGCAGAGCATCACACAGCATCTGTTGGAGTCACTTGGACTTCTCGGAGATCAGGCTCGCGGAAGTTCAAGTCCCGAAGCAGATTTGCTCAGACGTGCAAAGAGCAGGTACGAGAGAGCTTTGAGCCTTGGGTATGACTCTGTTGCAGAAACGTTCACGAAGGATGCAACTTTTGCAGAGAGTGTCCTCAACGAAGGTGAGAATGAATATGATTGCCAACGCTATGATCTTCTGCGGGCAGCACATCTTCCGAAACCGGACAGGACCAAAGCACAGGTCAGGCTGGGAGTATCTGAACAGTCACAGTTGGAGCACAATGCCATGAGACTTGTTTTTCTGGACTTCCCTAGCCGGCTTGACGTGCCCAGTTCTTTCAAGTACATTGATCAACCATGGATTTAAGAGGAATCCTCACAAACAATTTGCTGCTTTCATGCACGGGTGTCGATCAGGTGGCAGTTCATGACGCTGAGAGACATCTGAAATGGGTCAAGGCCCAAAATGAAGATTCTTGCAAGAAGAACGCTGAGGAGAAGCGCAAACAGTCTGAGAGAGCCAAGGAGCAAAATCAAGCCAAAAGGAAGGCTGAACAGACTGGTGCCTACGGGCAAGGGCCATCAAAGAAAGGCACCGCTAGCCCAGTTGCCCGAACATACGCCAAAGTTGAAGCAGCCTCCTCATCTGCGTCGGCGAGCGTGTGGCTCAACAACCCGCAAAGCTCCCAAACAGGATCGCCCCAGTGGTGCTCGCCAAGATCGACAGTACATTGGAGAATGGCAGAAATGGCATGGACGCTGGTACCAAAAGGTCATCAGACACGGCCGCATTGAATGGGAGCAGGGATAGAGTTGTGTCGCACCTCGCAGTGACGATTGGTTTATGTATATAGCCGCATGACTTTTGAGTGTTTCCTCAGGTCTGCACAGAGCTGAAGCGGTAAGGCAGACCGAACTGGTCTCGCCCTGGTAAGTGGGCAGCCTTGCCGTGACCGGCTCACCTGAGGGGGGTGTAATTGCATCCTATGTAAAACACACTGTAATATAGTATGCTTACGGTAGCTGTTGCGGCTCTGGTGTAAAAAGCGCTTAGCTGCTTGCTTAACGGTTTTAGGTTTATCAGTCCATTTGGGTATTATAACATAATCCCCTTGCTGAAACCTGAAAATACAACTAGACGACGGTTGGCCCGAGAGCGAAAAAGACGTTTTTCAAGCAGCTCTGAGTATGGTAGTCGTAAAAAATAGTCGGTGAATGGTTGGTGAATTTTATATGAGCTATGGAGGGGTAAGTTGTGAAAAGTAAGATTGATTAAGAAGAGGATACATGTGACAACCCATGCATGTGCACTGTGCTGCTTGGTAAAGGGCATCATATGACACGTGTCTTGCAACCACAGAGAGACATAGATAGAGAGAGAGAGAGAGAGAGAGAGAGAGGGAGAGAGAGAGAGAGAGAGAAGAGAGAGAGAGAGAGAGAGAGAGCAGGGTCTTCTGTTGTTAGTATTGAGACACTATATTGCAAGACAATATATTAAAGATGTATTTTAGGCAGGCGAGACAAGTAGTATCAAGACAATATATTACAAGTACAAAACACTAGTTTGCATCCTATCCTTCGTATTGTTTTTCACACGCAGACGCTTTTGCACAGAAGCTGTTACACACAGACGCATTTACACACAGACGCTTTTACACACAGAAGCGTTTACACACAGACGCTTTTACACACAGAAGCTTTTACACACAGAAGGTTTTACACGCAGACACTAGACACTTTTACACACATAGGCTTTTACACACAGACGCCTTTACACACAGACACTAGACACTTTTACACGCATAGGCGTTTAGACACAGACGCTTTTACACGCAGATGTTTTTAGACACACACACTTTCACACACAGAAGCTGTTACACACAGAAGCTTTTACACAAAAACACTTTCACACACAGAGGCTTTTACACAGAGGCCTTTACACACAGACGCTTTTACACACAGAAGCTTTTACACACAGACTCCTTTACACACAGACGCTTTTACACACAAACACTTTCACAGACGCGTTTACACACAGAGACTTTTACACACAGACGCTTTTACACACAGACACTTTTACACGCAGACGCTTTTATACACAGGCGCTTTTACAGGCAGATGCTTTTACACACAAACACTTTCACAGACGCGTTTACACACAGAGACTTTTACACACAGACGCTTTTACACACAGACACTTTTACACCAGACGCTTTTACACACAGGCGCTTTTACACGCAGGTGCTTTTACACACAGAAGCTTTTACACACAGACACTTTTACACACAAACGCTTTTACACACAGACCCTTTTACACACAGACCCTTTTACACACAGACCTTTTACACACAACACTTTCACACACAGAGGCTTTTACACACAGAAGCTTTTACACACAGAGACTTTTACACACAGACGCTTTTACACTTTTACACACACGCTTTTACACACAGACGCTTTTACACACAGAAGCTTTTACACACAGACGCTTTTACACACAGACACTTTTACACACAGACACTTTTACACACAACACTTTCACACACAGAGGCTTTTACACACAGACGCTTTTACACACAGAGACTTTTACACACAGGCGCTTTTACACACAAAAGCTTTTACACACAGACGGTTTTACACACAGACGCTTCTACACGCAGATACGTTTTACACACGCACACACGCTTTCACACACAAACGCTTTTACACACAGACGCGTTGACACACAAACGCTTTTACACACAGACGCTTTTACACGCAGATGCTTTTGACACACGCACACACGCTTTCAAACACAAACGCTTTTACACACAGACGCTTTTACACACAGACACTTGTACAGAAACGAAAGCGTCCATCGCAATTTTTCCTCAGTTTTTGACGTGCAACGTCCATTTCGTGCGAAAGGGTTACGATTGACCAAGTAAAATCGCATTTTTCCTCAATTTTTGACGTCCAACGTCCATTTCGTGCGTAAGGGTTGCGATTGACAACTCAAAGTCGCAATTTTTCCTCAGTTTTTGACGTCCAACGTCCATTTCGTGCGTAAGGGTTGCGCGGGACACTTCAAAGTCGCAATTTTTCCTCAGTTTTTGACGTCCAACGTCCATTTCGTGCGTAAGGGTTGCGCGGGACACTTCAAAGTCGCAATTTTTCCTCAGTTTTTAACGTCCAACGTCCATTTCGTGCGAAAGGGTTGCGCGCGACCAATAAAAGTTGCAATTTTTCCTCAGTTTTTGACGTCCAAAGTCCATTTCGTGCGTAAGGGTTGCGCGGGACGCTTCAAAGTCGCAATTTTTCCTCAGTTTTTAACGTCCAACGTCCATTTCGTGCGAAAGGGTTGCGCGCGACCAATAAAAGTTGCAATTTTTCCTCAGTTTTTGACGTCCAACGTCCATTTCGTGCGAAAGGGTTGCCGCCGACGCTTCAAAATCGCAATTTTACCTAGGTTTTGGACGTCCAACGTCCATTTCGTGCGAAAGGGTTGCGTTTCGTGGCGCTCCGGCGGCACCGCCCCCGCCTTAAGAGAGAATAGAAGAAGAGCGAGAAGAGATCTGCAGATGTGAAGGTGTGAAGATCTAGATCTGCAGGTGTGAGGGTGTGAAGATCTAGATCTGCAGGTGTGAGGGTGTGATGATGTAGATCTGCAGATGTGAGGGTGTGAAGATCTAGATCTGCAGGTGTGAGGATGTGAAGATCTAGATCTGCAGGTGTGAGGGTGTGAAGATCTAGATCTGCAGATGTGAGGGTGTGAAGATCTAGATCTGCAGGTGTGAAGGTGTGAAGATCTAGATCTGCAGGTGTGAAGGTCTGAAGATCTAGATCTGCAGGTGTGAAGGTCTGAAGATCTAGATCTGCAGATGTGAAGGTGTGAAGATGTAGATCAGCAGATGTGAAGGTGTGAAGATGTAGATCGGCAGATGTGAGAGTGTGAAGATCTAGATCTGCAGGTGTGAAGGTGTGAAGATCTAGCAGGTGTGAAGGTGTGAAGATCTAGATCTGCAGGTGTGAAGGTGTGAAGATCTAGATCTGCAGGTGTGAGGGTGTGAAGATCTAGATCTGCAGGTGTGAAGGTGTGAAGATCTAGATCTGCAGGTGCGAAGGTGTGAAGATCTAGATCTGCAGGTGCGAGGGTGTGAAGATCTAGATCTGCAGGTGTGAAGGTGTGAAGATCTAGATCTGCAGGTGTGAAGGTGTGAAGATCTAGATCTGCAGGTGTGAAGGTGTGAAGATCTAGTATAACGGCTGCTTTTTTACGAAGAACCCTTCGCAGGCGCTCTCGGGAAAAACATAAAAATTTGACACAGTTTGCTGGATGCTGTGCCGGCAACATTTAAAGATATGCATATCTCTAAACATTATGATTAGGGCCAAGCTAGAATCATACGGTTCCTTGGTCATCTTGGGTCAACATCAGATCCAGCATCTTGGGCGAGGTCTGCTCTTGGAACGGCCAGAAATGGTGCCTTTCCGTTTGACCCAGAATTGCGTTGCTGTCGTGGCCTCGTTTTGCTTTCAAACAGAAATGATCTTCACTTGGTGTTTTTTTGCATGCATTTTTTTGACGGAATATCAAAACATAAGCATATTATATATAATATGTATATATGTATAGTTGCATATTCTGCGTATAAACATACAATCATTTTTTGAAATATATGTTTGTACTAGTAAGGCCCGAACAAGGAGGCGGAAGTTTCGAAAATAGGATTGAATTATAGCGGCATAGGTGCCTACCGGAAGAGTTCCTGTTTGTCTTCAATGTCAGCTGGTTTTGATGTCAGTTGATGTGAACCAGCGATGTGAGGTGAATGACAAGATTGAAAGGTTTGGATGACCCAATGAACGACTCAAAAATGATAGACGGAATCAACTGAATGACTGAAGGAGCTAATGTTGTTTGCAATTTGCTTGTGGCTCCGCTGTCTCCAGATCTCTTGATGTACTGACCCACTGCTCTCCTGATCTATTGTTTTCTGATGCATTGATCTACTGATCTATTGATCTACCTTCCTACTGTCCTAATTTGTCGTCATACTGATCTAGCGACCTACTGTCCTACTGATCTGCTGATCCAGACATCTACTTGTTGCCGTACTGCCCTACTCATCTGTATTCACCCAGTGATCGACCGGTCTAATTACTGCACCGCTTTATCATGTACTGCTCTACTGATCTAAGAAATTTCCTTATCTACTGTTTTCAGATCCCCTGATTTGTCTGATTTTCCGATGAGACGGAGTCTGATCTCCTGAGCTTATGTCTCCTCATCTACTGATCTACTGTCCCGCTGATCTACGAGCTTATGGTACCCTGATCTTCTGATAATTCCTTGTCTGTCCTATACCGATATCTAGTCTTTTACGGGTCTCCTCTCCTATTCATTTACTGCCCTGGTGGTCTCATTCCTAACTGATCTGCGGTCCTACTGATCTTTTGCCCTACTCCTCTCTTCCTGATCAACTGTTGCTGGAACATTCATCTACATTTCGTGCTTCGGAAGTTTCCCATTAATGCTAATTACTGTACAGTATGTTACTCTAAAGTCCGCGCCACGGATTGCATTTTTGTAATCTTTGTGCCGACATCATACCCTGTCATAGGTTCGATTGGCTTAAGAATTTACAGAGGTAGATCTACAAAGTCAGTGGCGGGTGTTCACACAGGGGCCACACCTGCGAGGAGATGCAGCTGGGTTATACCCTGTTATACCATGTTACACCTGTTTTGCCTTGTTCTTTGAGATAGGTTAGGAGTCGAAAGAAGGACACGTCATGTATTCAAGAATCATGTTCGCAGATCAACTGGCATTTTTGGCACAAACACGAACCGTCCCGCGTTGAACGTCTTGCATTCCACATCCAAGTTCAAGCATGTTTGTGCCCTCTTTGCTTGCCGGTTTCTGAGGCCATGGGTATCACTGGCGTTGAAGGTATTTACCGGCAATGTTGCGAAGTGACAATGGAGGTTCGGGGCTTCATGGTTGCAAGACCACTATTATACCTGCGTCAGGCGCACTTGAATCTATTCCATCCTAGGGTCAAGCAATGAATTATTCATTATTATTCACATAATTTCACGTAATCTCATGTGACTGACATAGCCTCTATCCCTAAGCTGCTAAGTTTGCTATGGTGCTATAAGCTTACCAGGTCTACCAAGTAGCTAATTGTTTTCGTTTCTTTGGGCAGGTTCTTCGAGATCGTGGCAACACCCAAACCTTGCTCTCTGTGCTTCACGTGGATGATCCCGGACTATTCGAGACGAATGCAATATTTGCATAATGTCTTGCTTCAAAGTCAAAGCACTTGAGGATGCGTCAGGGAATTAGGGGAACGCTTACACTCCAGTTTCCAGGCGCTGTCGTTTGTGTACAGCGGTGCTTTTGCAGAATCTTCTCGCGCACAACCTATGCAAGAGCTTCAGACCTAGGTGTTTGTGGCTGATCCGTTGCTGGAAATAACAAAAAAGGTGGTCAGCAACCCAGGTCTTGTGCGGATGCAACGCCACTCTTGTCACTGCCCCCTCGGTAGATACCGTCAAGTCAATGTAGCTTGTGCTTTTCTTCGTGGCTTTTTTCAACTTCCAAGTGTTCATCGAGCCGCAGGGACATGTCCCCACACAGTCTCTGATGGTCGCAAAGATGGTTTCAAGATGGTTTGTCATTTCGACACCAATCCGAAACCAACCATCAAGTGTTCGTTTTATTTTTACCGAAGTGATGCTCAGGCAGCCTCTGAGTTGGCGGAACACCGAGCCCCTTGGATACAGGCCCAGAGTGGCATCCATAGGTCAGATGGAAGGCAGTTGTGTAGGTGAGCGACAGTTCCTGACAACTTAGATACATTGACTTTAAGCAAAGGCTTGCAAAGGGCCAAGGCTGGGCGTTGTGTTCTGATAACTTCGTTTTCACTTTCTATTTTTTCTCGGGGCTCAGGTTCAGACAGCAAGATACACCATCAGCGAAGTCGAGAAAAAATTGACCCTGCACTGCATGTAGCATTTCTCGACGGAAAGCAGTGAGAACTGTCATGACATATCATGACATGTTGTAGACTCCAGAAGGGTGGTTTAATGGCTCCCGTTTCAGATGATTGCAATTGCGGTCATGATCAGTGCTGGAGGTGTAGCTGGGCTGGAAATTGAAAAGTTCTTTGCCCATATGAGCTACATTGAGCTACTGCAACATACTGCAACGTATTTCCTCAGGAACGGGATGCTCAATGTTGGTGCAGCAGTCGAGCCTAGCAAAGCTTCACACTTAGCAAGGGTTGGCTTGACAGGTCATGCCACGCTGCCACATACCAACAGACGATCCGAATTAGCTATATTATATAATTGAGAAAGCTAAGATCACAAAAAGTAGGGTCAGCTTCCTAGTTTCATTTGCGGTATCAATAGCCAGAGCTGATTCAAATTTGTTTCTAATTGAGTTGAAGCAAGGATTCTGTTCTTGGGGGGCCTCCCTGCCTCCTCCCCCCGGCCATCCCCCTGACCCTCATCCTTCTCTTCCTCGTTGTATTCGCCCACCATGACTAATCACTACATTCATATCATGTCATAAGCATGTGGTATCATGCGGTATTGTATTTTGCCATCAGCAGAGCAGCATCGTCGTCATTCTGGTCATTTCTGGTCAGTATGGTCGAGTGGCATCATCCCAATCAACTTTATTTTCCGTTGGTTGCAGCATAGAATGTCGTATTTTCATGCATGTTCCTTTTTCACCATGATCACCATCACCACTGATCACCGCTGATCACCACCGTCATCACAATACTCATCATGCTCATCGTGCTCATTATATATACTCAATACTCATCATACTCGTCGCCGTCGTCCTGTCATCGTCATGGTAATCATTGGCGTCATCGCCTCCTTTTCATCATCATGTTACAAATGTTACAATGCATCGTTGTTGCCAGGAAGCCTGCGCAACATCCCTCTACCCAGCAACAGAAACGTCAGTGAGCAATAGTTGTGGGCAAGATGTGAAACATATGCCGCAAACGCATTTCCACCGTGATATTGGAGATGGAGCTATAAGTTCTCCATCCTGAACGAAGGCAAGTACAACATCATTCTTGTCCTGAGCCTCTTTGTCACCATCATCCAAATCACTATCATCCTCTTCACCTTCTTCGAAATGATCTGTCACTATCATCCTGTCAGTGTGTGATCTAATTCTACCAAGATCATCCAGGTCCATATCCTCCTTGTCATCCTTGCCAGCCTGCATCATCCTTGTCGTAGCTGTCAGTCGATCCTTATGTTGAACCTATCGACATCCTCATCTCAGCCGTCTTGCTGTCCAGCACTCACAGTTTCATTGGCAAGCTTGCATCTTGATATTCCACTTGGTCTCCTTCTGTTCACCCCCTTTCTAAGTTGTTACTTGAGCATACTTGAACATATGAATATAATATATATTATATATACATACATGTGTGTGTGTGTATGTAGAGTATAATATATACATACATGCTTTAATTTAATATATAATGTGCATGGGGAGTTGCAGAAATCCACGCGAATGTGAGGACAATCGGGAGTCGGTGCTTTCCAAAGATGAGCGCAAGCAGAGTGCTCTGGGATCGTGCCTCAGTTCTTTTCTTGTTTACAGAGCGGATATGATTTCTAGCGCGAAGGGCCACAGGTGTTGACAGTAAAATCAATCATTATACCCTCTGGTTCGTCCATCGATGATTGGCCCACAAGTCATGTGCTATCATCCAAGCTTTCTGCCTTTCATTGTTTGGGAATGCTTGCGCGCGCCTAGACTAAATCTGTGAGGTCGCGACAGAGGTGTTGGTCTTTCTGTGAAGGGGCAAGTTGACGAACTCATCAAGGCACCAAGTGACTGGAAGTCAAGAACATCCCATCGCAAATTGCTTGCATCAAGGCTAGGTTTTTTTGATTTCTTGGGGATTTGTTTTTGTATTCGGATTCAGCTTCTTAGTTGGTTGTGATTTGTGATGGATTGCGAGTGTGAAGGCTGCAACATGCAAGCGAAACCTGAGCGAGATGTACGTAGGCCGGCAACCTCCACCCTATTCAACTTTTCTAAAGTTTCCGAGTACGTCAACGAGGCCCCGTCCAGGCAGAGGTGCTTTGAGCAGCGAAGCATACAGAAGCATACAGCGAAGCATAGGAAAGCTGTATAAAGATTGTAGAGTTGTAGTTTGTAGAAGTTGACTCCCCGAGGCTGGCAACCATGGCTTTGACGCCGACTTGTGAATCGAGGCAAAGCCTCCATGGCCAAGGAGTTTGCCATGAAACATTGTGGCCAGGTGTGGCAAGTTCTCTGCCAGCGCATTGTGTTTGGCAGGAACGTGACTTTGTGACAGAGTCACTTTCCAGGACGATCTAGGAAACGCCTTGCCCCCATCTGAAATTTGGCAATGGGCCAGAAAGCCATAGGAAGCAATGGAAAGCCAAAGAAGCAACGTTGCTTTAGGGAGCTTCAGTGTTTCCAGTATCTTGGACTAAAACGTCGGTTTTTTCATGCGTTCTTCTGCTTCACTACAGTGCTGACCGTGACAGCAAGCCTGGCTTTGGACACTTTGGATGTCCTTGCTCAAGCTTTTCAGGACAAAGCCTGAAAAAGTAGGGGGAGATGTACATAGTCACAACAATGGAACTGGATTAGCTGCCTGTCAATCCAATAGTGTCAAGAAGCAAAGATTGCAGGGTTGAAAAAAAAAAAAACGTTTTCAGAATTTCCTCCAAATGAGCAAAGACCATGTGCTTGATATCCTTGAATACCTTGATGTGTACACAGGTGTTGTGTACAACGGACATAAATGCATACATGCACCCGTGTACTTAAAACACATACAGACACCGACTTACTTAAGTACTGTTCACACATGATCAAGCATCCACGCGGTTCTACGCATGCATCCATCGGCTAGCACTGACCTTTGCAGACATGAACAGATTTGCGCGTGAGCAAAACATATACACAGACGTACCCATCCATCCGTGCATCCATCTATCCATCCATCCACCCATCATTAGTTACATACATACTTATATGCATACGTACATACATCAGTCCATCCACCCGTCCGTCCACCCATCCATACATGCTTGTATGTGTACATGGAATATACTATGTATGTGCTTACGTTTCCTGAACACTAGCATCCCCAAATATTCTCCCATGCGTTGTGTCGATAGTCAGCTGACCAGACCGCGTCTTGTGAAGGGTTCGCAGTGGATGGGGAGATGCTGCAGTTCTGCGCGAAAAAAAGCACCCTGCAGCGCTCCCTTGGAGGGCTCGCTGGGCCAAAATCTTTAGATTTGCTTCGCAAGCACCAAATTCAAATGATGTACCAAAGGTTTCCACTATACCCACTGTCATTCAACTTGATAGATCACCACCTACTACCCCGAAGTGTAGGGCAGTAGCTTCCTTGTCTGGATCGTGCACTCAGCGGATTCTCCACAGCTGCCTTGTCTGGATTGTGCACTCAGCGGATTCTCCACAGTACAGTTTTTTTTACCATTGTTTAAGTTTACTGTTCATATTCAGTGAGCATCAAGACATCATGACTTTGTGCATAGTTTTTTTATGCTGGTGCTTGGCTTGCGAAGTCGGATTGCAGTTCTCAGTAGATCGCAATGCGCAGGTTGAGAATGGTGATATGAATTGGATCATCCCAGACAAGTTCTTGGCGTTTGCAGGGCCAAGTCCAACCTCCACCGATGCTGACGGGTTTCTTGCATGTCAACAAGAAAAGGTTCTTGAACAGCCTAGAAGGCAGTTGAAGCGAAACCTGAAGAATGAAAATAAGGATTTGAAACAGTAGCTCATATTTTCAAGCTATGCCTTCCAGTGATGAAACCAAGGTTTCCTGCTTTCACACCAGAGGACAGATCGATTTGTGCTGAAAACTGGTGTGACTGCTTGGTTCGAGAGTTCTTGTGTGGTCATGTGCAATCAGGTGGTGTATGGTGTCTCTAGCAGGGGTGTCTGTGAGTGTGTGTGCATTTTTTGTGTCAAAGGCTTTCCTGTAAAATTGCATGTTCGCGTGAATTCCCCACGGGCCGACGGACCCAAGCATACACTTCGGGGACAGAGGTGCTCGTAAAGCCACCAAAACAGAGAAACGCAAAAGCTTATTTTGATATATTTTGATACTATTTTGGTTATGTCGTAATTCTACCTGTTTGAAAGGACTACGTGCCGATCTTCAGAGACGCAGGAATTGGACTTGTAGTGCGATTAAACAAGAAGCAGTGCGCCATCACACAAGGCTTGAAACAATGAGGATTGGTTGTAGCAGCAGAAACATGCCCGGCACTGCATCTAAACAAGAGGCTGTTTTGTTTGCACCTGTCCTTCCTATAGTTGTTCTCACCTGCGCTACAGCCTTTGAGAATGTTTGGAAGAAGGTACGATCGGCGTCGTTTCGCTGATCATGGCTTGAAGCACGTTGACCTTTACTTTTTGGACGGCAGCTGTCCAGACAAGGAGGTGTGCAACTGGGAATGGGACAGGGTTGCTTTAAGATAGTTGGACAATGCTGGACTTGGATTTCTCATAGTAAAGGATTCCAAGAAGAGTTCAAAACTGGCGGTTTCATTCATTTGTGGAACTCAAGCATTGCAAGCTGGAAGGGGAGACATGCCATGGGTCAAGCTTGTAATAACTTGACAACTTGCATGGGTTTGTTCCCGAGAGCGTCTGAGCGCAGGGTTCTTCCAATAGTGGGGGTCTGTATCTCATCTTCTCATCTTCACATCTTCTCACTTCACATCTTCTGATCTTCACATCTTCACATCCTCACATCTTCACATCTTCTCCTCTTGCCCTCTTGCCCTCTTTCTTGCCCTCTCCTTCTTTTCTATTTCTCTTCTGAAGGCGGGGGCAGGGGCAGTGCCAACGAGACGGCACGAAACGCAACCCTTTCGCACGAAACGAGGTTCGATCGTCAAAAGTGAGGTAAAATTGCGATTTCAACTTGTCCCGCGCAACCCTTTCGCACGAAACGAGGTTCGATCGTCAAAAACTGAGGTAAAATTGCGATTTCAACTTGTCCCGCGCAACCTTTTCGCATGAAACGAGGTTCGATCGTCAAAAACTGAGGTAAAATTGCGATTTGCAACTTGTCCCGCGCAACCCTTTCGCACGAAATGAGGTTCGATCGCAGAAAACTGAGGTAAAAAGTGCGAGTTCAAGTCGTCCCGCGCAACCCTTTCGCACGAAATGAGGTTCGATCGTCAAAAACTGAGGTAAAATTGCGATTTCCGGGTTCCCGTTGCAACCCTTTCGCACGAAATGAGGCCAAAAACTGAGGTAAAATTGCGATTTTTTCTGTGTGTACAAAGCTTCTGTGTGCTGTGTGTCAAAGCTTCTGTGTGTAAAAGCATCTGTGTGTAAAAGCCTCTGTGATGTAAAAGCGTCTCTGTGTAAAAGCGTCTGTGTGTAAAAGCGTCTCTGTGTAAAAGCGTCTGTGTGTAAAAGCGTCTGTGTGTAAAAGTGTCTGTGTGTAAAAGCTTTTGTGTGTAAAAGCGTCTGTGTAAAAGCGTCTGTGTAAAAGCGTCTGCTTAAAAGCTTCTGTGTGCTCTGTGTAAAAGCTTCTGTGTGTAAAAGCGTCTGTGTGTAAAAGCTTCTGTGTGTAAAAGCGTCTTTGTAAAAAGCGTCTGTGTAAAAGCTTCTGTGTGTAAAATCTTCTGTGTGTAAAAGCCTCTGCGTGTAAAAGCTTCTGTGTGTAAAAGCCTCTGCGTGTAAAAGCTTCTGTGTGTAAAATCTTCTGTGTGTAAAAGCCTCTGTGTGTAAAAGCGTCTGTGAGTGCGTGAACATGGGCCGGCCATGGATGAGTAGAGGAGTGGGTCGCCCGAACCTTTTGCCGGGCACTTGGGAGGTTCTCATACAACTCTACGGCTAGCATCAAATGATTGCTGCATGCCACATCCAGCCACCACATGCGAGGTGTCACCGCCATGTTGTCAAGCAGACCGTTACTCATGCCTTTGACCAAGCTAGTTCAATGTACCTGACATTGTGTTTAAATTTATTTGCGCAAAATTGTGGCTCGAGCAGGTGCAAGTGTCATTCATCCGCTATGGCCAAACGATTTTTGAAACTTGAGTGAAGGTATGAAATCAAAGGAAGCATGTCGTGTGACATTTATGTAAGCCCACAAGGCTTGAGCAGCTCACACCACAACTCCCTATCAGACCATAGCAAGTCCTGTGTTGCACAGCTGGGATGCTGGGATGATGATTACCTCATTGGTAGCTTTAATGAGCCTTAAAACATCTTTAAAAGACATGGCAGCCAGTTGAGATCATCTCAGGAATTGTAGATTCACATTGGAAACAGCCAAATCGTTGCATGCGGTTCATATTTGAATATACTTTATCTAGTTTTATCTGGTATCTGTCAAAGGCAACTGTGAGTTTTGTGCCCAGCAAGCCTCCTGCGGCATTGCGAGTGGCGCTGGCAGTTTCGCTCTTGTGTGTAAAAGCGTCTGTGTGTAAAAGCGTCTGCGTGTAAAAGTGTCTGTGTGTAAAAGTATTTGTGTGTAAAAGCGTCTGTGTGTAAAAGCGTCTGTGTGTAAAAGCGTCTGTGTGTAAAAGTGTCTGTGTGTAAAATTTTTTGTATGTAAAACTGTCTGTGTGTAAGAGCGTCTGTGTATAAAAGCTTTTGTGTGTAAAAGCGTCTTTGTAAAAGCTTCTGTGTGTAAAAGCGTCTGTGTGTAATACTGTCTGTGTGTAAAAGCGCCTGTGTGTAAAAGTGTCTGTGTGTAAAAGTGCCTGTGTGTAAAAGCGTCTCTGTGTGCAAAAGCTTCTGTGTGTAAAAGCCTTTGTGTGTAAAAGCGTCTGTGTAGAAGCTTCTGTGTGTAAAAGCGTCTGTATGTAAAAGTGTTTGCGTGTAAAAGTGTCTGCGTGTAAAGCGTCAGGGTGTAAAGCGTCTGTGTGTAAAGGAGTCTGTGTGTAAAAGCCTATGTGTGTAAAGCCTATGTGTGTAAAAGCGTCTGTGTGTAAAAGCTTCCGTGTGTAAAAATGTCTGTGCGCAAAAGCTTCCGTATGTAAAAGTGTCTGTGCCTAAAAGCATCTGTGTGTAAAAGCGTCTCTCTGTAAATAGTTCTGTGTGTGAAAAGCTTTACAAAAGATACGATGCAAACTACTTTTCTTGTACTTGTGCTATATTGTCTTGATACTCCTCTTTTCGACTGCGTATATCACATCTTTAATATATTGTTTTGTAATATGGTGTCTCCATACTAACAAAAGAAGACCCTGCTCCTCTACGCTCTCGGGCCATCCGTCGTCTAGTTTCATTTTCTTTTTGGGGTTTCTCCAACACATCTCAAGGCTCCTGAATTGAGAGCCAGGCGTCATTCTTCCAAAAGCAACCCCGACTCACCCGATGGCCCGACACCAGATCATTTCGAAGTTCCTTCACATCGTGGAGAACGAACCCAGTGCAGTGGCTGTTCACTGCAAGGTGCAGACATGTTGGAATAGCGACCATTTGTTTGATGATCAAAGCTGTGGGCCTGAAAGGTAACAACGGGACACTATGCTAAAAATGTGTCGGAGAATTTCGGTCATATTGAGCTTGTGCCTTTTTACATATGCCCGATATGTCCGCATCATTCCAGCTGAAGAGATATAAGGCTGCGACACGTCACCCTGCAATGCATTATTGTTGATTTTCGGCGACTGGCGATGTTGACACACCTGCGAAAGAACATGAGTGGACATGTTTTCAATCGGGAGCAACTGGTGGCAAAGGCAGGCTTGGGACGGACAGGATCGTTGATTGGCCTCTATGCCAGGTGGCACAGATGGGTTCTCATGATTTTGATACATTGCCAAACACCCCGTTGACCGAGCCAACCCAAAGGTTTTAATAGGACCCAATGTGGCCTGATATAGTGTGATGCTAAAAAAAGTTGTATTTCCTGGTCCTATAAATCTCTACACATGCATACAACATCATACAACATTAGGTCAGTCATGGTCAGTGTATGTAGAATATGAATGGATTTGATAAAGAATGAATGGTTTAGCATAAAGTTACCTGATTTCACCCTAAACACCGTAATATACCGTAATTCAATTAACGCAATAAAATTTTAGATGATATATGATGATATTCTGTGTAGTGTAGCGGTGCATTTGTGAAAGAAATCAGTTAAGTTGCTCCCGTGCCTGTTAAGTTTTAGTTAGTCGGCTGATACCATTTCGCCTTGGAGACTCGACACTTTCAGTTTTTTTTATGTGTGTGCGTTTGTTTGGTGTATGCCTCTAGACATGCCGTCGCATCCTAAGATCAAGGTGTTGTATTTCATTGACTCTATGCGTATGGTTAGTTGCGATTGAGTATATGGGCCCTGCCAAGATCTGCCAAGGCTATGAAGCACTTCCAATTTCCTGCTCGTGCTTGGATTGGGCCGGACACTTGGGGCATTTCACTGGACGGCAATGGACGACAACAATTGAGTGTCTTCTTGTGCTATCTTGTGTGAGTGGATTTCCACGGGTTTGGTGGAATTTGTTGAAACGTTTAGAATGTTGAAATAGGCTTACCTTCGCACCTTTGCCGTCTTAGCCTTGTCTCAGCCGTTGTGCTTACCTTTGGTCGCCAGGTGGAACAGAATATGCCGTCCAGGCAGAGTGCCTGAGTGCGACCTACAATACTTTTGTGGGTCATCGTGAAGCACTTTCTTTGCACATCAATAGCTTGCCTTTGAGAGAGCGACTTGCACTGCCTGCGACAGTTAACATTGGAGCTTGAAAGCAGGCAGCATCCTGGGCCCTCAGCAACAATTCCTTTGCGACATGCAGCAAGACATGTGGCAGGCAGGACGGGACGTACAAAGAAAGTTGAACATAGACACACAGGACAGTGAAAGCCATTCACGATACACCATTTTTGTGTTTCACAATGTTTCAAATATTCAAACAATTTCAAACACATACCTTCCGTATTTTGCGGCCTGAAGCCCATGGATACAAAGTGGTGGATAAGCTCCACATCTTTTCCTTCAAAACCCAAGCGCCACGGCATTTGCACCGTGAAACCATAGATCTTGAGGCTGGGGAGGCAAGAAGGGGTCCATCTGTATGCCTGGCCTGTTGGCTTCAACGTGTGGCCTACAGATTCTGACATGTTTTGAAACTTCTGATGAAGAAACTGCGCATCCCGGTCTCATTTGCACACCGTCCAGAAATCAGACCGAAGGGAGTGTTGTGACATTATTTTCAGGCCGGGGACTGCACCACAACAAAATATAACATAATATCAATATGATAATATGATTGTCAAAGTGGCTTGTTACGTCGAACAATGTATCATCGACTTCAAAGGAATGAAGAACGGATTTGAAACGTGATTGACATTGATTGACTATAGTGGCTTTAGAGTGGCTTGGCATCTGCAGACATCAGTCCAGAACAGCCAGGCAAGCCTCACGACAGATCTCGAGAAAAGAATGGCGGATTTAAGCGTTCGGGGTTTGACGCAGGCCTATCTGGTCTATCTTGGGCTTATCTGGGCATTTGATCGCAATGCCATGTCAAGAGTCAATCAAGGGAAAGCTGTAGCCTTGCAACTCAAAAGCTCTTGCAACCGTTGTTCGACGCTGTTACTTCATGTCTTGACAAGCTGCAGGCAGAACGGCAGGAGGATGTTGGTCAAGGAGATAGATTGGTTGGAGCAAAGCGCCAGGGCGGAAGTCTTGGACTAAGATTTTAATGGGCTTTTGATTTGGGGCACTGGAGCACTGTAAGAGTTTTGATCGTTTTGTTTTCTCCGCTCGGCATTTTGTTTTTGATAGAGCCTCAAAGCATCACGGCAGGCGCTGTGCCAAATCATTCCAGATTGAGATCATCCTGTTGCTTCCAACGGCAACATCTGCCATGCTTTACCCATCTTCGCATTTGCTTGAGCGCAGTGAGCCACAGGCCCCACAGGTGGCTCCCCCACAGCGGCAATCAGTGTGCTGGGCTTGGCAAACACAGACCATCAAAGACCTCCATGACAACGCAAAAGATTGAAGCTGGACCCAAATTAACGGCCCATTGAATTGGAAAGCCTGTCGCAACCCTAACAAAAGCAAAGCAATCCTCATCAGTGATGATGTGTCAATGTCAAGTAAGTTGTGCCAGTGGGCAGGTGAGGGGGACAGAGAAATCTGATCTTGACAGCATGAAAGATAAAAGCATGCCAAACGCAAGCAAAAGATGGGGAAGAAAGGATTTTATGAATGGTTCCAAGTTTTCCTGGATAACTCGAAAACAGAAAGGGAGGACGTTGCAACCTCGTGTTGGCTTTCTTTTAGGTCAATGGCGCTCCTATGATAGGTTCCGCGGGTGGGTCGGCTAGAGGCGACTGGTCATCCAGGTTTTGGAAGCTATACGTGATTTGATTCTGGGCTCTTTGGAAATCTCTCATGTCATAGAATATCCCATCATATCCTCATATATTCTGATACCGTGCGTTTCTTTGCTGTTCAGTCAGTACTGATATAGTTAAGAGCCTTCGTTAATAAAGATCACGTGACACCAGGAAGAGGTCAGGTTGAACAGGCAGATGTTGGGCGTTCCCAACTCTGCCAGCTCGTGAAGGGATCAACATGCAACATGTATCAAACTTGGTCAAGCAAGTGCCAGCAAGCGCAAGCAAATGTATGTGAACGCATTATATTTACTTGGATTACTTGGGCTTGATTCGCTTTGTTTCGCCTGCAGCATTGCCAAGAATGTCAGCGAATGGGCCGCACTCCTAGTTTGAGAGCACTTGGCATCACATTTGCCCACAACACAGAGTGGCTCTGTTGATCTCTGTTGACTTCTTGATCACTGAAGCTTTGGAGTGCTGTGGGGTGGGCTCCCTCAGACGCGCACTTTGGTCCATTGTCTCGTGGCCAAGGGGACACGATCCTCCAACACCTCTCAGTCCTTCGGCGAAGCCGGGTGCAAGGGCTGAGGAGCGACGTCATTGCTCTGAATTTGTCCATGCAATGCTAAGCAGGTCAGGCAATGTCATCACAAAATGCTCTGCATTTCTGTTTGTTGCGAGCTGTAGTTGTTGCGCTCGTGGCTTTGCTGGGCTTTGCAAACGTAAAATCTATGGCACATTCGTTATTTGCAGCAACTGGAGTCTTTACAATTCGAAGGAGTGCAATGTGTCCTTACAAAAAGACAGAGTGTCACGACATGTCGCAGCATATCTGAATGATTCTGAATGTATTCAGCATTGAGTAGGTTGGATCCAGAGGTTTTCCTTCGCAGGACCGGCCCGTGATGGGCATGCTCCGGCGCAGCCTGAATGGCATCTTTGGTCACTGAGGCACAGCTGCTCGAAGTTTGGATTTACTAGCGGAAATATATGGCAGCAATATCTCATTCGGACTCTTCGTGAAAGACAACTGACACAGACTAACCCCAAGGAATTGCTAATCAGCTCAGGACAGAGGGTAGGGAGCCGTTCCGGGAGAGGTGAAACAGGGACTGCCGAGGCTTTTCATTATGTCATCACACCTTTAGCTATCAAGGTAGGTTGCTGCAGACGTGGAAAGGTTGCATTTCCATTGTCCTCATTTCCATTCATGTCCACTTTGATTTGAGTTGCAAAAACATTCAAAAACCCTGAGCACATGGAGGTGCACAAGCCCAATAAGTTCTAATAAAATGTTTGTGTTTGTCAGCATTCTCGCGATTTCACTGGGGTTTGGATTCTACTGATCATCATGGACGAGAGCATGATTGCACTGCAGACATGTAGCAGGGCCTCAAAAGGTATATACTTTGCTGTAATACCTGTCACATCATGTAATGCATATATAAATATATAATCATATATATATATTTATTTATTTATTTAAAGGGGAATGACCGTGTTCTACTGTCTGTGCATATTTGTACATATTTATTTACGTATATACATTTATATAGTATTTATATGTATATATACATACCTATACATATATTATATATATACATATGTGTATATATTTACATATATTTTTTACACGCACACACATGCACACACACATATTATTTACATATATATACATATATATATATATACAAATTTACATATATATATATACACATGTATATATATATATATATTCATATCCGTATTTGCATATATATATGTGTGTGTTTATTCATATGTAAAACTATCCAGTGCTGTGCAATGCTGAGCCGTGCAATGCAATGCTATGAATTCTTCTGCTTGCACTGCACGTGGCCTTGAGTGTAGTGCCATGCAGAGTCATACTGTGAAGACCAATGAAATTCAATTCAAGTGCAAGGTACGGATTTCGAAGGAATGCTTTGTACTGCAGACCTGTATTTCAACCATATATATATACTGTATATATATATATGTACATGTAAGACATGATAGCAATCTGTGTATATATATATAGTACGATGCTGTGTCAGGCCATATTTTACCCTCATGGAAAGCAATGCGTCATACCGCCATTGAAAGCTGTGCAGTGCACTCGAAGTCTCTGTGGTTCACCACACTGCAACGCGCAATGCGTTCAAATGCAATGCTTCTTACTACTGGCGCATGCAATATTTTGTCAATGCAATGTCAAGGCATGTCATGTGATGGCGCGTCATGCAGTGTGATGCAAAGTGATGCAGCATAGTGGAATGCACCGCTACGTGGTAGAAGTATTGCTGTCGTTGTGAAAAATTGCAATTGAGAGTATATAATCTGAGGCGATATAGCGCAATGTAGCGCATTGTACCGTCATGCAAAGTCATGCCATTTGGAACGTAATCATAATATACATGTCAGATTGCTCCCTCCCATTTGAGACACAACCTTTTTCACATTTGTTCTACTATTCGAAAAATGTTTGATGAATTTGGAGATTTAGAGTTGAAACTTAAATCTGAGAGACATTTAAACACAAAAAAAATAGGATATTTGTTTGGTTCTTGTAAACACAGCTGAAGAAAACCAAAACTTAAGTGTTGAAAGAACAAGACTTGGGGTGTGATTATGCTCGGCAGTGCTGCTTTGCAGTTATTTGCCAAAACAACAAAGTGCTTAAGATTTTGCAGGATTCTTCTTTTTTCAGGGAAAATTCATGGAGCCCATTGTGGAAGAATTTCGGGCGAATATATGGCAGGCATTGAAGAGAAGTTGCATTTCCGAAAAAAGGTTGGTCTGGGAGATTACCATATTGTGTATATACATATATATGTGTGTGTGTGATACGCATTTCAAGTCGGCATAGTGGAGGTGGGAAGGGTCAGAGAAGAGAAGAGATGAAGAGAGAAGACCAGAGAAGAGAAAGAGTCAGAAGGCAGAAGATGCAGGCGCGCGAAAAGGTAGCAAAGCCGCGAAACACTGTGTTTTTCCAATGATTTGTGGCTCCGGCGGGTCGAAAAGTAGGCTCGCTAAAGCGGCGGGTGCGGAGCCGTCTGGGGAGATGAGAAATGAAAAATTGCACGCCGTTGTGGCGCGAAGCACATCTCCAAGTCAAAATGTACAAAACACACCAGGTTCGGAGCACTTTTGGAAGTTGAGATGTCGAAAAAGTGCACGCTGCTGTGGCGCGAACCACATTTCGAAGTCAAAAGTGTTAACATTGTTAACAACTACTCACCTATAGTGAACTCACCCCGCCGGATCCAAAATCTTGCGTTTAGTTGGGGGGGACTTCCCGGGAAAGTCGCCCCAACATGCGTTTACTTGCTGTGGATCAGTTGTTTTTTTGTCATGCCTGGCTCATTCATGTGACCTTCAAGCAAATCCAGTCACGTGTTTACATGTCGCCCTGCCGGAGGTGGTGCCTTTCTAGAGTAGTTGCATCGATTCATCTAATTACAGTAGATGGTGGCCTGCAGCTAGGCTGTTGTCGGGCTGATGCTAAATGGCTGCGGTGCTGAGCTGCTGCCAGACTGCTTCTAGACTCCTGCTATAGAGACTTGCTGCCGGGCTGGTGGTACTGCTGCTAAAGCTGAGGGGGCTCCGAAGCTATTTTCTGGCCTCGTTCGGGCCTCGCTTTGGCCTCGTTTTGGCCTCGTTTTTGGCCTCGCTCGGAACCCGTTGCGGAAATATTGAGTTGAGATGTAAATCAGAACCCCATAGATTTGTTACCAAAACATACCAAAATATACATGAATCATTCGTTCACATTGTGTTTTGATCCAAAAGATGACATTTCTTAGATGTACTTGTTACACTTTTAACATTCGAATTGGATGCGTTTTGTAACAAAAGAGATATCCTACCCAAACATACATGAATCATGCGTTCACATGGTGTTTGGCTATCAAAATATATCGTTTTTTGATAATTTTCCATAGTTTAAGACCATTGGGGTGACTTGCGTTCTGATTGTGTTTTGCACATTTGGGATGATAGTTTTTTTGTACTTTTTCATTTTCGTGCTGCGTTTACAATGGGCGAAGAAGTTGGGGTGACTTTTCCTGGCAGTTGGGGGACGTAGTTCCATGCGGGAATGACACCTGACTGCAACGTTGGGGGACCTTCGGTGGCCATGAGTAACGGGTTCAGAACACTTTTGGGAGTTGACATGTTAAAAAGTGCACGTTGTTGTGGCGCGAAGCACATTTCGAAGCCAAAATGTTAAAAACACCACATGTTCGGACCGCTTTTGGACGTTCAGATGTCGTTTCGCGTGGCAAGGGATTGTGCACCTTGTCAAGAGGGAGCAAAACATGAGGGTTTTGTAGCATGTCCAAAAACGATGGCAGGGGTGGGGCCTTTGAAGAGGATCTGCAAGTTCATCAGAGATGTTATGAGGTCCGGGCATTGATTTCCTGAAAGGGTTGCATTTTGGAGCATCAGATCGTCAGGTTTGGTAAGATGATTTTGTGTGACAGGTGCAGCACTCGTATGACCTGGCATCACTTTTTCGTGGACAGATGGAATGGAAAAATCACAAAACGCATTGGCACGAGGCCGTCAGCTCTGCATTCAACTTTCTACTATTGAAGGAAGTCTCGCAGAATTGCTTCGTTTTTGATGCTGCCAACTTCAAACGTTGAGGAACTCTCCCAGAATTGCTTCGTTAGTGACATTGTCAAGCGCAAAAATTGAGGAAGTCTCGCAGAATTGCTTCGATTTCAAGCTTGCAGAAAGACAGATAGATAGATAGATAGCTAGATAGAAAGCTAGACAACTGCAACTACGACTACCACCACGCTACGCTACTACTACAACTACAAATTGAAAAACAAAAGTAATATACCACGCTACAGTATACTAATTACATTACACTACACTACACTACACTAATTACATTACACCATTACACTACACTGCACTCAATACATTACACTGCACTAAATTCATTACACTACACTAAACTACAACTACACTACACTACATTACACAAAACTACGCTCCACTAACTACACTTCAACTACATTACAACTGCAACTTCAACTGCAACTTCAACTACAAGAACTACAGCCACAACTTCAACTACACTTCAAGCAACTACAGCAACAACAACAACAACTACTACTACTACTACTACAACTACAACTACTACAACTACAACTACAACAACTACAACAACTACAACAACTACACTACAGCTGCAACTGCAAGTACAACTACAACTGCAGCTACACCTACAGTTACAACTTCAACTACACTACAACTACATTACAACTACAACTACATCACAACTGCAACTACCACTACGACTACAACTACAACTGCCATTACATTGCGCTTCGCTACACCCCACTACATCCTGCAATCGTGGGGGAGGTGGCCACTGCAACCACTCCAAAAATGGCAACCGCCTTTCGCTCCATCAATGGATTCGCTCTGCCATCCATGCATCACAACAACGCACCTCTCCTATAGTTTCCTATCTTTGAAACTTCCGCCTTGTGCAGTACTACTGGCATGTGTATATATATATATATATTTAGGTGATACGCATTTCAAGTCGGCATAGTGGATAATGTAGGCAATTGCACATGAAGGAATGCACTGTCTTGTATTCAGTGGGAAGCAACACACTGCGAGCAATGCTTTGCAGGGGAATGTCTTCTGTCATTTAAGGCCTGGCTAGCATAGCGTAAGCCTCACAAGTCCAGATAGTGTAATGCTGATGCAGGTTTCATCTAGGGCAAAGGATTACAAAGAATTGCCATACGATGTCATGATGCTCAACCCAGTTCAGTGCTAGTGGTACAAAGCAACAAAATTAGTGGCTGCGGGCCTGTAGCTGGGGGCATTTACCACACGTCACCCTTGCAACATAGTGCAATACTGTGTGGTGAGGGGTGATGCCATGTGATGTCTTGTAGGCGGGATGTAATGCAAAGTGAGGCAGTGATACTGTAATTAGCACAACAAATACCGTAGGGGTTCCCATGACAGTGCAGTGGAATATCATGCACTGTAAATGCACTATAATGGGAGCCCTTGTCATGTCATGTTCTGTAGTGCTGCCAGGGGAAATGAAAGGTACAAATAAATACAATGGAAGGCCTTGCAGGTTGTGCAATGGAGGGGCATTTGAGGGCATGAAAGTTCATTTACTGCAATGCTATGCTGTGCGTTGCAAGGAAATCTAACGCAATGCAATGTCATGGTGATGCCCTGCTGGGACGCAATGCCGATTGAATGTACATTGCATCGCATTGCCAAGAAGGCAATGCGCAATGTATCCTGCATGGAGGTTCGCAGATGGTAAGTTGGTATGGTATATTTGCACGAATTTGAGGAACGGATTAGACACCGGGGCTTGATATTATGGGAGCAAGAGGGCATGATTTTGCAGGTTCAGCACGCCCAAGTGGAATTTGCAGGTTTGGAGCCAAGTCCTTGCCTTGGTAGAGAAAGGAACAAGACAAGGTGTAATTGGACAGCACATCCTCAAGTTGATACATTTATGTACAAAAATATGTATATACTGTATAATTTGGTTTCTAACTAGCGAGTGACAAACGGATTCTCAAGACGACAGAAAGATTGTGCATTCTTAAAGCTGCAGAACTATACGAAATTCCCGCTTTGAATTCTTCAGGTGACAGTGAGATTTATCAGAACATCGTTGTTAATGGTTTTGTTCCCAGTAGTGAGATGCCGGACATGCGGTAATCCCAGATGCTCACTGTTAGCCTTGGCTGCGCCGTCCACCGCGGTTTTCTTTTGTTTTTTCTCCGACCTTTAAAGACCACTAAAGAGGTGCCATCGGAAGCTACTATCCAAGACTAAAAGGATCTAAAAGGTTAAAACCTTGTCCGCTGTCCTAGAGGGGGGTGAAGCACATCCGCTTCCTCCATGCCTTCTGCCCTTGTAGTTCGAAGGTCCTCCAATCAGAGATCGTTGAAGCTTCAAGCGCTCATGTCACCCTGCCCTGTTCATAGACGTAGAATTCAGAAAAGCTTGGTATAACACTGCGTTGTCTTCGCCCGTTGTACACAAGGTGTGAATGTTTCGTGCAACATTGAGCGTTTGTATGCTCTTGTATTTGTGGGCAATGGTTTCAAACGGGATTCACACCCGTTTGACGCACAGGTATTTGATCTTGCTCGGTTGCTAATCTTGCCGTGGTAATGCTGTGTAGTTCATGCAGTCAAAACCTTATGTTTTGCACTTGCCAGGAATTTCAAAGTTCCAAAGCCAAGCTGAGGGGATCTCTGAGCCGAAATTCTGCAATTGCAAAAGCTCCAGGCAGTTGAGACACTTTTGGCGCACAGCATTGTATGCAGCATAGCTTGCAAAGCTAAAGTCAGGTTTTACACAATGCTGCATCGCTCCAGCAGTTCGTCCGTTTCTGTCCTAATGCAGTATCCCATTGCAATATTTCGACTTGTAATGCTCACTGGTCTTTGACAGTACCGCGATGGGTACACCTGTATCAGCTCGCACAGATATCCAATGTGTCTCTTGCACAGGAGCCTTGCACAATAAAGTCAGCACACGTCCTTTGGTATTTGTGTCCTTTGCACAAGGTATGAAATGCCCGAATTGATCCATGCAATTTCAGTATAAGAAGTAACAGGTTCAAGAACAAAAGTTTGATGCTCGGCTCAAGTCCAACAGTTTCGTCACGGTTGAGCCACACAGTTTGCACCATCGTTTTCTGCTTCCTGCGGAAGATTTCTTTGCAAGACCGGACAAAAGTGTTTTGACAAGAGGGTTTTTTGCATAGGCAAAGGATTTTAAGTGAAGAATGATAGCCCGGATTGTTTTCCACTGAATTGAATTCTTTGTTTTCATATTGCGGCGCTTTGTCCGGTTCTTGCTAGCAGCTGGCTCCTCTTAAACTGAGTGCCAGAATTATGCAGTAAGCCACAGATGGAAAGAGGAAGATGTGACAGGAGGTGGGCCCAACAGAAGGCAAACGGTACCAGGTCTGATTTCAGAAAACTCCACAAGGTATGGATCTTTCCGCAAAGAAAAATGTTTGCTTTCTTTGCTTTCCGTCTCTGGAGTGAGCGGCGCTGGAAGCTTTAGATGCTGAAGACCACGACACTCGCGAACAAGCCTTGTGCGCCAGAGATCCTCCTGTAGGTGAGATCGAAAAAGATGTGCCTCTCGATATTCTCGATTTGGCTGGTCCAAGTTTGTTCGGTATTCTGCACCCTTGTGCTAACAGATTGGGGGCATCTTTGGGCTATAACAATTTGCCTTAGGGTTGTGCTATGAGACCTTTCTCGTCTATAGAACTTGCATGCGCCGTGCGCCAGCCAGGCCCGTGCATGCGTGCTTTGTGCGAAGCTGTTGCGGTGTTGCCCAAGAACATGAGCCGCGCGCGACACCGGTGCAATGCAACCCCAGGCGACCCTTTTCTTCACACTTGACACTACGTTCTTCACACCCCGCACTTCACACTTCACACTTGCACTTCACACTCCACACTTCATCTCATCTCAAATCATGTGAGCTTCTCTCACCTCATCTCAGCTCTTCTCATCTCATCCCATCTCTTTTTACATGTCATCCAAGTAAGTTCTTCTCAACTGCTTTCATCTCATCAAAGCACTGATCAACTTTTCTCATCTCCTCGCAGTTCTTTTCAACTCATCTCAGCGGTTCTGCATGCCAGAGCCCTTACTGTCAGAGAGACGTCCCGCGCACAAAAACCATTGGGCACAGAACGCTTTTGCACACAGAAGCTTGAGACACAGATGCAGTAACACAGAAAAGCCTTTACAAAATACTTTGTACTACAAAGCTTGCACAGAGCACTTCCCAGTACTACTTTGTACTACAAAGCTTGCACTAAGTAGTTCCCACTACTTTGTTCTACAAAGCTTGCACAGAGCACTTCCCAGTACTACTTTGTACTACAAAGCTTGCACAAAGTACCGCCCTGCACTAGTTTGCACCACAAAGCTTGCACTTTGTACTACAAATCTTGCACAAAGCTTGTCCCAGTACTACTTTGCACTACAAAGCTTGCACAAAGCACTTCCCAGAACTACTTTGTACTTCAAAGCTTGCACAGAGCACTTCCCAGTACTACTTTGTACTACAAAGCTTGCACTAAGTAGTTCCCACTACTTTGTTCTACAAAGCTTGCACAGAGCACTTCCCAGTACTACTTTGTACTACAAAGCTTGCACAAAGTACCGCCCTGCACTAGTTTGCACCACAAAGCTTGCACTTTGTACTACAAATCTTGCACAAAGCTTGTCCCAGTACTACTTTGCACTACAAAGCTTGCACAAAGCACTTCCCAGTACTACTTTCTACTACAAAGCTTGCGCCAAGTACTTCCCAGTACTTCTTTGTACTACAAAGTTTGCACAAAGCACGTCCCATTACTACTTTGTACTACAAAGCTTGCACAAAGGACTTCCCCGCACTACTTTGTACTACAAAGCTTGCACAACGTACTTTCCAGTACTACTTTGTACTACAAGGTTTGTACAATGTTTGTACAAAGCACATCCCAGCACTACTTTGTACTACAAGCATGCACTTTGTACTACAATGCTTGCACAAAGTTCTTCCCAGTACTACTTTGTACTACAAAGTTTGCACAAACCACTTCCCAGTTCTTAGTTGCACGACAAAGCTTGCACAAAGTACTTCCCAGTACCACTTTGTACTTCAAAGTGCAAGCACGTCCCAGTATTACTTTGTACTTCAAAGATTGCACAAAGTACCTCCCTGTACTACTTTGTACTACAAAGCTTGCACAAAGCTCGTCCCAGTACTACTTTGTGCTACAATGTTTGTACAAAGCACGTCCCCGCACTACTTTGTGCTACAAAGCTTGCACAAGCATGTTCCAGTACTACTTTGTACTACAAAGCTTGCACAAAGTACCTCCCTGGACTACTTCGTACCACAAAGCTTGCACAAACTTCTTCCCAGGACTACTTCGTACTATAAAGCTTGCACAAGGCACATCCCAGTACTCCTTTGTACTACAAAGCTTGCACAAGCATGTTCCAGGACTACTTTGCAGTACATAGCTTGCACAAAGTACTTTCCCGCACTACTTTGTATCACAAAGCTTGCACAAAGCTCGTCCCAGTACTACTTTGTAGTGTGAAGCTTGCGCAAAGCACTTCCCAGTACTACTTTGTTTGTACTACAAAGCTGACACAAAGCACGTCCCAGTACTACTTTGCACTTCAAAGCTTGCACAAAGCACTTTCCAGGAGTACTTTGTACTGCAAGCTTGCACTTTGTGCTACAAGGCTTGCACAAAGTACTTCCCAGTACTACTTTGCACTTCAAAGCTTGCGCAAAAGTATTTTCGAGTACTACTTTGTACTGCAACACTTGCACAAAGCACTTCCCGGTACTACTCTGCACTACAACGCTTGCACAAAGCACATCCCAGTACTACTTTGTGTTGCAGAGGGTGCGCAAAGCACGTCCCAGTACTACTTTTTCCCACGAAGCTTGCACTTTGTAT